ACCCATCTATCTGGATCTTTCAACATTACCATGTTTACAAGACATGCACATTTCGCTGCTCTTCATAATTCATTCCCACTACAGCCAATCTCACACACAGTCAAAGCAGAAGCCCTTCAGAAGCACTGAACCCAGTACTAGGTTGCATAAAAATGATAGCTCCCATATGTCCTTACAAACACCATGCCAAACTGTATTGTGCTGTATTTACATTGTGTTAACATCTACCAAATTACCAAGCCAGCAGGAGAACATACACCCATTCACATTTCTAAACAAGGTTTAGAGTCTGGGTGAGAATTTAGTTGTTGGTTTGTTTGGGTTTTTTGTTTTTGTTTTTTTTTTTTTTAATGCAATGCCTATGGGAAAAAAAAAAGAAAATTTTAGCATAAACTTGGTCTGCAGTTTCATGTTACTTGCCAGAACTAAAACATCTGCATCCTGTGGTATCAGTCCACTTGGGAACTTAGTTAATTCAGAGGCAGCTAGAGTTTTGGATGGTATTACCCTCGGGAGAGCTTCCTGTCCTCCTGACAATTCACGTGGTTCAAAAGAAAAGAACTTAAGCTACCATGACTAAATTTTTTCTTTTATATTTCAGTTTATTTTCAAGTGTACGTTTCTACAAAACAGGGAATCAGGTCCAGTAATACAAACTGAGAAACTGAAATTACACTCTGGAAATTTCCTTCCTATCCAGGGATATTTCCTGGCTATCAGCCTTCTGCTTTTCCTGGACCTGGGCTTTCTTTACAGCTACTAGCTGATCAATCTCAATGCTTGTAATATTACAATGCTTGTAATAAGAGTCCCTCACCATAGTTTTTCAGATGAGCACCAAGATCATTCCCTAGGGAGGCACAGAAAGACAAAAGTGCCAAACAGATCTGAGTAATGGTCTGTAAAGCCTGTTCCTCCCTAAGAGCAGCAGAAGAGAGACAAATTAAGCTCTTGACCTCCTGCCCAAGCTCATGAAATCTTTTTCTGACCTGGCTAACTAAGCAGTAGATTGTATTTGTAGGCCAAAGACTGGGACCTTTCCTTTTAATCTATATGGTTACAGGCAATACCTCTCATTACTTACAGTTGTACACAGTCATCAGTAAGATTAATTCTAAAACCTCTGTGAAAAATACCAAACTACCTGGCCCAGATTTGAAGCAGAAGTCAGGATACAGAAAAAGTTACCTGTCCTTTAGAGGTAGCTTCTGGGTTCTGACTGTGCTACAGCTTCAGGGGAATCATGGCTGCCTCTTCTGGTATAAAGAGATGTTCAGCAGGATTTGGGTCACAAAGTGCATCAGTGCCCAGACCAGCCAGAGCTGAAAGCTGGAGACAACAATGAGGAACAAACCTGAACCAGACCAGACCTGGGGACATGAAAAGTGGGTTATAATAGACTGTTGTACAGAAAAGCTGCACAACCTCAGAGCCCTGGTGTAACAAGAGGGTTACCTGCTGAACCACTCAGGCAAGCTTTCATCATAGATTATTTTTCTTGCTGTTCCTCATAAGTCACACTCTTCAGCTTCTCTTACACAGGTCAAAGGATGTGGCAGCTTTGAGTCTGCTCACTTAAGGTTGATCTAAACAGACACAGAGGAAAGATAAAAGATCTTTTAAAGATTTGCTCACCTGTCCATTAAACCTGAAACACCAATGTAGTGGAGTGGCAACAGGCTTCAATTCTTCAGACACTACCTCTTATGCATCATTTCAGGTGTATAAAACTACAGATTTAAATTAATTTGTCATTATCAAAATACCAGTTTATAGCCATTATATTGATGACAGAAGGCAAAGCACAAGAATGGTATTCATCATACGTGCCTTATTATAACTTCGTTAATTCTTCATGTTTGAGATGTTTGTCGGATCTAGAACAAAAGGAGCACAGATCACTACTTCCACGCAACAAAACTAATGGAGATGATTTTTAGATACTTCTGTTTGAAACTACACATGCATTTGCTAGACAATGCAAGTGAAAAAGCTTTGTAGTCCCCAGCTTGGGCATAAAACCCAAGGGAGTTTCTGGGTGGTCACATCCAATTCTCCAGGCTGCCATATTTTAGACAGCGTTTTGGATCATCTCTACAAGTAAGTTCATGCTGAGGTCTTGGATTTCAACCAGGGTTTTGTCCTCCTTTTCTATCTGTGATGGTGCTGCTGCTGCTCTCTTCGGTCTTCTAGCAGCATACACTGAGTATTCAGGGTGAGCAGAGGCAAGGTATGTTTCAAGAAAGGATCTCATGCTTGAAGGAGGATTTAAGCCTGTCCATCAATGTTTTTAAAAAAGGTCACTCATTTTGTCAGGAAACCTAGTAGTCTACATCAAAACTTGTGGTTCTTTTGTGCTGATTCAGGCTTGAATTGAAAAAAAAAAACATACAGTAAAATGCCCTTCATTTCACCCACACCTTTCCTCTCCCTTGTTTTTTTGAGGGACTCAGAATCTGATTAAAAAGGATTGCCATAGGCACAGGTAGGTTGCAAAGATGCTGACAGCCTCTACCATGCAGGATGGACCAGCTGTGTTTCTAAGAACAAATTCAGCCACTCTGGAAGGGAGGGAGCAAACACAAGAATTTGCCTGTGGTCCACAACTTATTTATAGCCACAACTGCAGTTAGAGCTCAGGTCCTGCTGGCCACTAGGAAAGCACAGTCTGAGCTTCAGCCATCTGTTTGAAGGTTAGGCAGCCTCCATCTCTGCCAATTCCTAAACTTTAATGAAAATAGTGTTGTTCTTTTTTTTCTTCCTTCCGTTAAAGCTCCTCCCAAGCTTAGATTTAAGAGCCTAACAGCAACATTTTAAAAATACCTCTGTGATTTGGGACCACAAGTCACAGTAATTTCATGCAGACACTGTGGTGAAGACTGACCACTGACCAACTCCTACTATGGAAAAATTTTGGCCACTGTCATCCTGAAAGATGGCAAGGAAAGGGCTCATCTCCAGAGAGACAGTGCAGCTTTTGAAAAACATTTTAGTAATACTTTGTCATACACAGCACCAGAGCTGGAGTTGCTAGAACTCATTCCTCTGGGATATAAATGCTTTTCCTCAGAATGATATTTAAACTATATAGTCATTGTTTTTGAGCACAGTTCAAGACATTCCTTTCCCCTTAGCATATATGCCTCTTTGACCTTAACCTAGGAGTTGTGAGAACTCTGAAGGACTTTTGGTAAGTGAGCCATACTATATGTGAAGAAATATAATTAATTACTCTTGGAGTCAGGGAATGTCCACTATCTAAACTTCACATTTCAGTTTGGGTAACAAAACATCTTAGAAAATCCAAATTTACCCTGGAACGTACCTGTATCTTTTGTTATGAACTTACTTCTAAGTATCTGAGTAGTCCAGTTCTCTTAACATCTGCCCTGAAATGGACCTTCCTATATCTTAAAAAAAAAAAAAGGAAAAACAAGAGCAAACGTTGTCTTCCCAGAGCGTTGGTGGGATCTTTTAGCTGAAAGGGCCAACTGATGGGTTGCACAATTTTGATGTTTAATTTTAGTGTAGAAGAGAAACCCCACCCCTTCACCTTCCACAAAAGCTTCAGGAAAATGCTTCAAGACCAGTATTTGCTGCTAGCAAAAGGCTCATTGCACACAACCTCCCAGGGGAAATCTCACAAGAGGAAAGGCTCTCCAAGACAAAGATCTCTTCCAACCAGCAGGAAAACAATATGCCTCCAATTAATTTACTCAAGATGCTGGAACTTTTGCAGAGCTGTGCTACAGATCTGTGCAATACTCCATATTGCAAACCTCAGTGTTCTAAGGAAAATATAAAAGAAGGGGAGAAGAAGCCTACACATGGAGAACTCTGATTTCTGGTCTTGCATCTTGCACCCTTATTAGGGCAGCTCAGGGGAGGTCAGGACTCCCCAGCATTGTACACCTGCTGTCTCCAGGGCTAAGTGAGCACCCAGCTGATTCATTTTCCTACACAAATCCCCTTTCTGAGAGGTGCTCTTGTTACTCCCTCACTGCCCACCACAGGCAGCATTTGTCAGCCTCCAGCACACAGAGGTTGTCTCTGCCCAAATCAGCTTCCAGTACTGATGACTGAGAATACGAGGTGCTTGGTGTTCACACACCTGTTCACAGCCAAGAACAGAGCCCAGGAGCCCTGGATGGTGATAAAAACCCTTGTCTCCCTCACAGCATGTGATCAGATCCAAACAAACTTGAAAACAAACTTGCACCTGAATACATTTGCCTATACAACAGAGTTGACTTTTCTTCCGTAGCACAAGTCCAACCTAGACCACTACTCAACAAATTCAATGACCTCCAAGGACCACAGGAAAAATAAGTGCGCTAACAAACTGTTTGATCAGTAAAGAAAAGGACTTAGTACTTCTGGGATGATTGGAAAAAAAAATGTGGAATGCAAAAATGAATGGTCACAGAAGAGAGGCTTGGCAAGGACTCCATGCCAGCTGAGCAGCCCTAACATCTGGGAGCAATGAGTGCCTCAGATCAGAGGTCCTCAGCCATGCTCTCAACACCACAAAGTGTTTCAAAGCAAAGGGTAAGGTGGGGGCAAGGCTGCATTTACTTATTGGCAGCACCCAGACATGTGCTGACAGAGGGGCCAGGAAACCAAGGCAGTGGGAGAGGCCACCAGTCATGGCTCAGCAGGCAGGTAGGGAGCTCTCACAGCACTTCATCCACCTCCATCAGGGCCCCAGCACAGCCAGGTTTGCTGCCAGGGGCCAGCAATGACCATCAGTAAACCACCACAAAGCTGCTCTCCTCAACCCACACCAAACCACAACCCTTCTCCAGAGCAATGAACACTGCAGCTGAACTTCCCTACTCACTGCCACCTTGAAAAATAAGTATGAAAACATGTCATCATCAGTTTTTCCTTTGTGCTGCATTGGACTTTGCTATTGCCTGTCTTGCTCCTCACCATCATCCTAGGAACATCACATACTGAACAGACGAGGATAAGAGAGGGCCTAACACAGCCGTGGGTCCCCTTGAAAGATAAAGGGCAACCACCAGGACGATAAGCTACAAGTATTTTAACTTCCACATGGACAAAGATCACCTTAAAAAATACTCTGAAAGAAAAAAGAATTCCCCAACTTCTTATGTTATTTAAAAACTGCAAAGAGTTCAAGATAGGGAAAGGTGAGTGGACAGTCAGTCAAACACCAAAAACCTTGAGTAACTTTAACAGCACATATAACTTTGGCACACAAATTACCTCTCCAGAAAGCTTCTGCAAGGCCTAAGCAGCTTAGCAAGCTGGTGAGAAAATTTGAAGTGACTGTGAACTGTGATGCCATGAATCAGGTCAGCCTTTTCTAGTGTGGCTGCTGCTGTCATCCCAGACTTTGGCTTTGCCTGCAGCCCACCACTGAAACCTTCCATCAGGCTGCTTGTTTACCTGCAAGGAAAGATGGCTTTAGGTTCAGATGTTAGTTTAGACTTCACACAGGCTCCCATTCCAAATCCACTACTTGTTTCCTGTTGTCATCCCACACCTTCACTTGCATAGGCAGGCTGTAAATACATTAACAACCTACACGATTCTTGCTCAGTTATGACAAGGGCCATAAAAAAATAGAAGTTATGAATGCATCAAAGTCTGCAAATCTCTCCCTTCCTCCCCATTCTGCTCTAGGCTTGTGCTTTTTGGTTGTTTTGTTTTTTGTTTTTTGTTTTTTTTTTTTTCCCTCCTCTTTCCTGGGAAATGTGATGAAGGAGGGTGGAGTGGCTGGGGCTAGGTACAAATATTCAGACAGTCTCTTAGCAATAAATGGATCTCAGTCAGTTCTATTATCTGTCTGGCTGTAGCTCCCATTATCTGCTGTGAATTGTAGCAGTGATCTCTGGAACAGCATTCGGGCACCATTATTACTTCCACACCCTCCACAGACTGCACTGTAACAAGGCATGCTGGATAATACTTGCCATTAGAAGAGGGAACATAAAGGCTTCAAGCTATGACTAACACAGTAAAAGGCTCTGCATGGGGCTTTTACATTCATTGACCAGGGTTTGTTATTAAAGAAAATTCTAGGTTCAAAACCTAGACCTGCATTTTATACAGCACATCAGCTGACTTATACAAAAAGGTGATTTCATCCTGTTCACGCTCACTTCCCCACTCCCCTCAGCTAAATCCTCATGGAAGGCTGCAGCTGGAGAGTGGGGAAGGCATAGCATAGGCCTGCCTGGAGCACACAGTCCCCAAATGGGGACCATAAGCCCAAAGCAGTGAATTTGTCCGGGCCAAAGTGCCTGGGAGCCTGCGAGGCACCACAAATGCGAGCACCACAGGGAGCATCCAGAATTCAGAGCTGAAAGCCTCCAAAGCATCACTCACATGGCTCCTTGTTAGGAACAGGAGTTTCGGGATCCAAACCCACATCTTACTTCCTCGTGTTTTTCACAAGCCCTTCCATTTGTTTGAGGCCCATCTCAAAAGCCTGGAATGAAATCCAATATCTTCCCCCAGGGTAGGATGAGGGTTTTAAGAGAAAAAAACCCCATAAGTCTCCCTCCCATAGCCAGCAAGGCAAGGCCACAAACATGAGCTCCACCAAAAATCATTTTCTTACGGGTTTCTACCTGGCAATGGATTGGTTTCAGCTTCCCGGACACAGAATCTCTGGACAGAGGCTTTCCTGAAACTGGGATATTTCAGAAACCGCCCTCTCCTGCACAGCTTCCCTTACGCTTTTCTCACTTGGACACCTATTTCACAGCAGAGCTTAATATCTTACTATTACCCATCATTCAGCATGGCTGAAAAATTAGTCATCAACCTAAAAAGTTATTAAGAAACACTTGATACTATGATTGCTTTCCTGTGGAATGAAGCAAAGGGAAAAGGTAGGGGAGGGAAGGTGGGTCAAACCTTGCATTTACAGTCAGGAAAGCTTTCCCAGCATAGGAGCAGGTCTCCTGGGGAACATCAGCCCACAGGGGAGCACCCAAGATCCCAGCTTAGCACAGCCCCTTCACCACTGAGAGCCCAGAGGCAGCTGGCAGAGGCTGCCTTAAGTAGAGCTGCTGCTCTCCAGCAGCACCACCCATGGCTAATGTGCTCCAGATGAAAGTCATTCCTCGGCCAAAAATTGCTCCTAGGCCTCAGCTGGGAAATGTAGCCCTTCTCTCTGCTCTGCCCTTGGGCATTTGGGTCTAGGAGCAGGGCTGGCCACTCTCTCATCTGTGCACAGAGCAGCTTGGGGACAGGGACACCAGCTGGCTCTGGAGCCGTGGGCTGTGAAGCCCAGGGAAAGATATGGGAAAGGAGGGAAGGAGTACAAGAGGAGCTCCACAGGGTCCTCTCAGGTCAGGGACTTGCAGCTGCTGCCACCAGCAACATCTCTTACCATATCTGTGTGTACCCCAAGGCATGGCTTAGGCAGAGGGGCCCACCACTGCTTTCCTGCATCTTTGGATGGCTTTTGGCCACCCCAATCTGCTGTCCCAGGCCACCCTCTGCTCTTTCCACTGCTCCCACCCAGTGTCCCAGGAGCTCCTCCAGCTCTGCAGATGGTGTGATGTGCAAGCCTGAGCTGGAGACAGTGAATGGCACTAGAAAAAGGGGAAAGTTAAAATGGGGCGATAAGGGGGACAACTGGGAGCGCTGAAAAAGGGCATGGGATTGATCACAACCACAAAAAGCAGAGAACAACAAAGTATCACACCTCTTCATGGCTATTTTCACACCATGCACAGTCGAACTCAAGGCAACTCCAGGTGTAAGGAAAAGTAACCTGTTCAGGAAAAACAAGAACCAACAGCCTGTAAAAACATGGCATCTCCATAGGTAAGATTTTTTGTGAGGCAGAGCTGAGCTATTGTGTGCACCTGCTCAACCCCACCACCCTGAGAAGGCAATTGCTGGGAAGGGGCTGCCACTGGCTGAGATTCCTCATGCCCACAGCAGGGCTGGCTGGAATAGGCAGTCTGAAAATCTATCTTTCAAGTGGCTTTCTGTCAGGCAGTGCCAAATATTTGTGAGGATGTTTTGAGAAGGAAAAAAAAAAAAATACTCCCCCCATTTTTTATGTTAATAAAAACATATTTGATTTGTATACAATTCATGTGCTTCGTGAAAGTGCTACTTACTCTCCCAAACAGAGGAGAAATAGAACCTTTTTTTTTGCATCCCACCCTTCCTCCTGCCTTACCCTTTTTGCTTTTATGACGCAGCATTTATTTCAGTCGGAATTGTGCCCAGCTTATTCCGCCTTTCGCATGGCGCATCCTCACCTCTCTTCCCACTCATAACAAAAATAATAATAACTTGCAAATCTATGTCAGTGGAAACTTGAAAAAACATTCTGAAGGGAAAAAAAGTCGTCGTCAAACACAAAGCACAGAAGGACTCCAACACTGCCCCCCACACCCCTTTCCACAACTTTTTCCTTTGGTGAATACATTTTTTCCAAGGTCACCTCGGAGGCTTTTCCTAGTTGGCCATTAAAACAAAAAAAACTCTGCCTGCCCCAAGAAGCACACGAAGCCATCACTGTGGCTTGGACTGTCTCCCTGTGTATGGATGCCATGGGAGAAGCAGCAGGGCGGGGTGTGGGGGGGTGAACTGATATTTTTCCAAGACTTTTTCTCTCACCAGAGGAGGATGAAGATGGAGTGATGAGTGAGGTTCCGTTTGTCTGGCAGCATGAGTCACTCAGCAGCAGTTTCCGAGATACACTTTTTCTTTTTTTCTTTCCATTACAGAAATTGGTGTCATTTATTCCTTCCTTCTTCTCAAGTTAAAAAAAAAAAAAAAATCCTGCTACCGTTATGTCTAATTTATTCTGGGAACTTGTCTGAGGACCCACCAAACCTGGGGGGGAAGGGTGATTTGAAACACAATCCAAAATATAATCGGCTCTGGAAGCTTTTAAAGAGACTCCTTTAAGGCTGTGCCAAACCTTAAAGAAGGAAAATACTTCCACTAAATCCCTCCCACCATGAATGGGATCCTGTATGTCTGAGGCTTTTTATTGGATGGGTGGTTTTGGATTGTTGGTTGGTTGTTTTTTTTATATCAAAGATGTTACTCTTTCAAATAGGGTCTGAGCTCTGTGGCTTTTCGGCAGGCAGTGAATACTTGCTCCTCGGGCATGCAGAGATCTGACACAGCCCTCCCCCACACTGGGTCGGGTTCTCATGCTAAGATCTGGCTCCTGGAGCTTGAGCTGTTGTTTTCTTCTGGAAGCTGTTTTTCCCCCCTCTTCACCCTTTAAAAGCAAAACTAAACAAAACTAAGCTGTTTAAAAGAAGAAAAAAAAAAAAAAAAGCCTCACAGGGCCCAGAAACCCAGCCTGACCTCCTTACTCCTGAAATATCAAAATATTCCCACTGTCTGCAGGCAAGGGTTGGTGCTGCCTGTGCTACCTCTACCAGCTCCTCTGCCTCCAGCCAGAGCCAGGGCAGGAGAAAGCCCCGTCAGCGGGCAGAGAACACGAACAAGGCATCACAGTTATAGTCAAGACCATCCAACCAATGGTAGGAGTAATGAGTGAACATACCCTGGCTTCCTCTTATTTCCAGACAAAAGTAACCCCTTAGGTCTTGCTCCAAGTCCCAAACTGACCAAACCCAAGCTGTCCCCCTGCTGTGGCTCCCCTGTGTGGCAGAGCTGAGGCAGGCTTTAAATGGGGACAATACTAAACTTGTCCCCTGCATTACCAGAGAGCAAGGATGATTGCAGAGCCAAAGTTTAATTATTTTGATGGAAGAGTATCTCAGGGAGTAATGGAAAGACTGTTATATTTTATCTAGAGTTGGATGCCCTGCTGCCCTATAGCTCTTTCCTTCCAGCTACGTGTACATCCAGGTCTGGAAATGCATACCATTGTAAGTTCTGTTTTACAAGGAGCAGCATTAATAAGCCCCACAGCCTGTGGTTTTTTATTCTCTCAGATGCCACATTTAACCTCTGCTCCTCTGCCCAAGTCTCAGCTCTACCAATCCACCCTGTGCTGAGAGGCTAAAAGGAAAACTCAGCAGCAGGGGAAAGCAGTGCTCTAGGAGCAGAAATCTTTTTCCTGAGTTCAAAAGGCACAGGGAAAAGGCTGCAGGGAAAATGTTTGGATGTTTGTTTGGAGTGAACCACATTTTGTCTGAATGCAGGCATACAGCAAAGAAGGGTCCTTTCTCCATTGACTAGGAGGTCAGGGACCTCAAGGCACCCTGCCCACAGCAGCCTCATTCTCTACAAGCCATGAGCAACTTCTCTTCTGCATTTCAAGTTCTCCTCTGCTGCAATGTTACCCAAACAGGTAGTGCCCACCCTTGTACCAGCAGCTCTTCTAGTACAGAGTGGAAGGTCAGAGAGGAGCTCTGGCACCCTGGGAGCATCTCCTGTTTAATTAACATGCTTCTGATAGGGGACAGCTGAAGCTCAAACATTTCATAGCTCTTCCTTCTCCTTCCCCTGGAGCAGAGGGTGCTCGTGGACTGCCCCAGCACCACCCTGCCCGTGGCTGCAGCACAAGGCAGTGGTTGTACCCGGAGCTCTCCTCTCTGAACACGGGGGGACTCCGGGGGTCTTCAGCCTGCCTGGCTCTCAGTGTGGCCCAGAGGGCCGTGTGTCCCCAGCCAGACTGACCACTGACTCCTGATCGCTGCTTGGCCGCTCCGAAAACAGACGGCTGTTTGGGCCCACAAAGCGTCTTGGAGACCCCACAAGAAATACTCCCCCTCACTTCTGATTTCCTGTTTACAATGACATCTTGGGATGTGCTTCCAAGCCAGTGTTTAATCCTTTTACTCTGTCACATTGATTTTGAATCATTCTAGTTTAAGTGTTATGAGTACCAAGACAAATATTTTTTATGAGTCTCAAACCACAAGCATCTTTTTTGACCTTATTTTTAATTTACTCACAAATAATCCCAAATTTAGCTTGACAGGATCCATCTTCCACAAGGTACCAGAGGCTGCCTGATTAAGACCCAATCTCATGAAAGCAGTTATTTAATGAAATTTCAAGGTAGCTCTGAAAGGAGTATGTTCAGACCTCCAACCTCACAGTAAAAAAGGTGCATAACCCCCTCTGGGAATGCAACACAAACTGATTTGCAACACAAATCTTCTGTAAGAAGATTGTGCTCATGCATCTTTACTTTCCTTACGCTTTAGTTTTCAGTAGCTGCCAAAATGACTGGCATTTCCCAAATATAGGCAAACATTATTTATTAAATGAAATTGAAGTCCCCTCCCTGAACATCCAGAGGGTCCTCAGTGTAGGGCACAACCCCAGAGAAATCCAGAGCATGGAGGCACTGCAGACTCCCAGCACTGCCACATCCATCCATGGATCAGTGGCTCCTAGCAGCTCAAGACAAGTTTAATGGAAACTGAAGCCTCCATGCACAGGAATACCATGGCATTTTCTGTAAAGGCAACTTGCTGCAGAAAGCTCAGTGTGATTTTTTTCCCCTTTTTGACCATCATGACACAGCTGAATGTTTTTGCTGAATGTGAGGGAACCCAACTTAAACACTGTAAGTTAAAGGGAAGAAAAAGAAGTCAACCTCACATCAGGTTGTTTGTGCCAGACCTCACCATATAGAGATGTGCAATTATGGAATTTCCTGAAATACATTTTTGCTAGAAAGAGAAGTGGATAAAGGTTACATGGGATTCTGAAGAGCCTCATGAAAGGATACAGGATTTTAACCAAATGACCCACTGAGTGGGGAAAGAAAACCACAGTATCCAGTTCCAGGTGACAATCAAAGTCTGAGCTCTCAAATACATATGATAAAGGAGGTATCCATAAGCAACATGTGCCAGCATAGGATTTCCAAGAACTGATTATACCTGGAGGCAGTATATTGTCCCTCTGTGCCTTGTTATAGATTGGTGTTACTGGCATGAGTCTGCTTATTCATTCCCAGGGAAAAGAATATGTTCTTTTAGAGTAGTGTGTTCTAATATAAATTTGTCTGGTCTTCCTCTAAAATGTCAGCACTTCTGGTCAACTGCTTGATATCATCAAGAGAAAGTTGGAACATCTCCCTGTCAAGAGCCCACATCTCATCCCTGACAAGGTCCTGGGACAGGCAGAATTTCTTCAGCCTTCATTGCATTCCAATGTGCTCACTCACACAGGTTTGTGACTTTTTTAAGGGTCGTGATTTTATTTTATTTTATTTTTGGTCCTGGTCCTTGCAAACCCTAATTATGAATCCAAGGTCGTTGTCAGTGATGTCAATTATGCAATGGCTGAGCAGCTGCTCCCCCTGTTGCTGGCCTAATAGTGCCATGTTGAAGGAGACAGCAGAATTTCTTGTGCCATTTAAAATTTGCTATATCATGAGTTTCCTTTCAATTGCAAAAGCAGAAAAACAGCTTGAGTACTTTTCCTCCTACATCTTTACTTCAAGCTGCTTTTACATTCCTCAGTACATCTTTCAGCATCTCATGCCTTAAATACATATCCCAAGGGTAATAAAGATGAATTAAAAAAGACTAATTTTTCCCAGATGGTACCCAAAGTCATCTATGAACACAATAGGAGCTGCTTTAAAATAAACTCCAGTGGAGGATTCTGGCTATGGGCGAACAGGGCAAGTGGCCATTCACATGTTACAAAGTGCTGGGTACTAAATACAACTGCTCCAGGGTGAGACTGTGGAGGCAGCTCAGTAGAGACAAGCAGTGTTTAACATGCCACTGAAATGAAAGGGGGCTGCCTGTCTTCACCTTCATAGATTTTATAACAGTTTAGATAACTAGAAGGAGGTAGCCCCAACAGCAAACTATCAGTTATCAGTGATTTCCTCCTCTGTGCAGGGTGAGGAATGTGGTGTGCCACATCCCACCACGTAGGAAGTGTTAACAAGCACTTGCTTTTTCATGGCAGGCATCTGGTAGCAAATATGAAAAGAGACCCAACTCTTCCCCTTTCACATATATTGTATATTTTTTTTCCTTTTTCATCATCTTGGAAGATAAAAGAAGGTGTCTGGATTCACACAGGGTGGTCTCCTCTGTGACTTGCCTCACAACGTCACAAACACCAGCACCAGTGGGAAACACCCATTTGCCAAATCTGAAGTTTGGCTTTAGAAGAAATCCATTTCAGTGCTCTTTTATATAAAGCAATGCTAACAGGATGTTGTACAGAGGAACACAGCTGTCTTTTAGTCTGCACATCAACTGTTCATAAATGGGTATCTCTGTTACTGAGGAACTACTGTGCTCCTCTCCCTTCTCACCTTCTCATTTCCCATTCCTAATTTCACCCTTGCAAAACTCCTACTGGAGCCAGACTAAAGCTGAGCTCTTCCTTGCTGAGTACTAATCCCAAAAAGGAAAACCAGTGGTCCAATTTATTGTCTTCTTGATGCTTACACAATCCTATCTCTGTCCTAGTGTTTTCTCTGCCCCTTCCTATTGCATTAATGAGGTTGGAAAGCAAATTAAAAAACCCTGTCATTGTCAGTGCAGCCAGAAGCTATGACTCAGAAAACACAGAGCCTGCAGATCTGGTAAGATGGAGCTTTTTCTCCCCACACCCCACGCTATTTTTTTTTTTTTTTTTTTTTTTTTTTAGTAATCTTATTAGAAAAATAGAAAGACTTCAAAGAATTTGACTCTTTCTCAAAATTATTGCATGATTAAGGATTTCTGGTGGAGCCACCTTTTCTGCTAACTCCAGTGACAGTCTCTCCAGGCTGCCAGCTTTGCATGGTCCAAGCAGCTCCAGAAGCTGGAATACCTCCTGGTGATGTCCTTAGGGTTTGTGCATCTGGGCTTTAACCATGCAAGGTCCAGAACTCTGAATGCCTTCAGACTTCAAGAACTTCCTGCTTAGGCCAAGAGGATGCTGTCAAAACAGACTTCTTTACTGAGTGACTCAGTGCTGCTTTCAGTCCTTGCCAGAAGCCAAGTACAGAGGCATGAGGAAAACAAACACAAGTTACTGAAGCATTTCAGAGTTTTCAGAAAAGTTTGGTTCAGCTTTAATTCCAGTAAAGCTCAGAGAAGGATGAAGCAGAAAAAATATTTCCTAACCAAATTCCTCATGCAAAGGCTCTTAGTACACAACACGTGTAAATTTTACAACAGTTTTGCATTCCTGGTCAGGACTCACACGGTTCCATGTCTGGAATAGGTACATACAGAACTCATGGAAAAATGCCCTAGAGATACCAGCTGAAGTTTTGCCTTCAGCTCTACTCCCATAGCCAACCAACTTCCTGGGAGGTTTTTTTTTTTTTTCCTTATATTT